ATTGACAACTGATTGCTGCTAGATGAGGAACAGCTGATCTTCCTAAAACACTATCTCTAGATAGGCTGACTAGATCCAGCAGATGGATAAGCACTGGGGAATGGCTGGGGGCACTGACAACACAGTGGACAGTAACAGGGATGACAGAGTATATGGGCTCCAATGGGGGTGTCACTTGGGATGTGGGTATAGAGATGAATAAGGTTGTTTGGGATGTTCTGTATGAAATACACACAAAAAAAATCATTAAAGAAAATGAGTTATATTTGAGGAAGAAGCATAAAAATTTGTTTCATGTTAAGTAGTAGATGTGAAAAACATTACCACTGAAATCTACCTGATGACTTTATATCCATGCTCAAGTGCGAAGGATTTCAGAAAGTAACAGACTGTAACTAGTAATAATCAGATGTATAGAGATTAGAGACACATGTGCAAACATCTAAGGGTTAGTTGCATTAAAAATGCGTTTTTCTGTATGAAACAATATATTTTAATAATGAAATGGAGATCTTTTTTAAAGGTTAAAACCTCATTCAATTTTATGTTTTATAGGGTTTATACTGAGTATAATAGTATATAACTATTAATTCAACTGTAAACCTAAAAGTTTATAGCCAATTTTGAAAGAGATGCATCTTAGCTCTGGAAATTGTTATTGAATATGTCAATGCTGTTGTAATAAAATGCTTCTTCTAATTATATGGTTATTAAGTAAATAATTAAAAAATAAAAAATAAAAAAATCCTAAAAAAAAAATCCCCCCCCTAGAAAGATTTTTTTTAATACTTTCTTAGTCTAAATTTTCTTTCTTCTCTCCCCATATGTATTAGAATTTTACACCAGTTGTGGCAGTACACAACAGTAGGATATACCCAAGAGATGGAGGCAGAAAGATCACGAGTTGGAGACTAGCCTGGACTATACCTTGGGGTGGTGAGATGGCTCAGCAAATAAAGGTACTTGCTACCAAGCCTAACAATCTGAGTTCAATCCCCAGAAAGCATATGGCAGCTGAAAACTGTCTATAACTCTAGTTCCAGGGGATCTGAGGCCCTCTTCTGGCCTCCACACGCATTACAACATGATGCACTTACATGCAGGCAAAACATTCATACTCATGCAATAATAATATGTATGAATAATTTTTTTTGTCTTTTTTTGAGACAGGGTCTCCTTGTAGCCCCAGCTGTCCTGGAACTCACTATGCAGACCAGGCTGGCCTCGAACTCACAAAGATCCGCCTGCCTCTGCCTCCCAAGTGCTAGGATTAAAGGCATGCACCACCACACCTGGATGAATAAATTCTTTCTTAAAAAGGTTTTTTTTCAAAGTTCAAAGTCAAGGCCAGTCTAGGCTATGTGAGACCCTGTCTCCAAAACAAAGCCTCACAAGAACCCCAAACTTCTCTTTTGCCATATGGTATTGGCTAGCACTCAGGAAGCAGAGGCAGGATGGGAGTTCCAGCCCAGCCTGGCTACTTACTGCAAGACTCTGTCTCAATAGCAACAATAAAATATTTCAGGTTCAGATAAAATTGGTTAACATCTATCTGTTGATCATGAAGTTGAGTTTGAAATTTTAAATTCAGATGGCAGTATCCTTGTGGAGGAATTCAAAGTACTCGGTGTAGAACAGTATTTCGTTTGTCCTGATATTCATTACGATTCAGAATTTTCGAGCTGGATGAGGAGTAATCTAATGACATTTACCAACCCACTGCACAGTTCCCAGGCCAAAAAAAAGGTCAACAATTTAGGGGTAGGTCAAAGAGTGAAAAACTCGTCCATACAAAATATTAATAACACATTCAAACAAGCCCATCCTGAATCAGGAAGAAACCAGCTCACAAGCCCAGTTTCCCAAGATTTTTGGACTTTTGAGCTGTTCTGTATAAACGGTAGCAAAAGACGACAAAATATTGGCCCGGTGGTGATGCACATCTTTAAATCCCAGCACTTAAGAGGAATGGCAGGCGGATCTCCGACTGTGAGTTCGACGCCAGCCTGGTCTACATAACAGAGATTCTGGCCAGCCAGGGCAACATACTGAAGGCCCTGTCCAAAAAAGACGCCACAGTATGTTACTAATCTTACGCTGAAGAATCTGAAATCTAAGAATTTGACCCTTTCGCTCTTTGAAAAAACACCCCATAGATTGATTACAAAAGCAATGCATGTTTCTTTTTTAAACAAAAAAAAAAAAAAAAAAAAAGAGAGAGAGAGAGAGAGAGAGAGAGAGAGAGAGAGAGAGAGGGAGAAGGGAGGGAGGGAGGGAGGGAGGGAGAGAGAGAGAGAGAGAGAGAGAGAGAATTCCAATATCTGTAATCAATTAAGTCCGACTCAGCCTTATGGATGAGGCAAGTTCGGGTCATTCCTGGAAACGCTAAATCTCAATGCACCCATTTGGTAAAAAAATAGTAATTTCCCGGACTGCAGAGCCCTCATTTCTTCGGCTGCTTCTGGGGCAGAAAATCTATCAAATTCTACCTATCGAATTTGTCAGGGTCACTGGCAGGCGCTTTAAACGCACTGTCTCAGTTCGTTTTCTGAAACAGACATCATTTCGTTCGCTTACAGACGAAGACTGACGTAAACGGCCTTTAAATGAAGCTGGATGTGGTTTAAAAGCCAGCGGGGGACCAAATCCCTTTTTAACTGCCTTAAGCGCAGAGGCTGCCCCGGAGGACATTTTTAAAGCACTGCGACCGTGGGAAAGTCGCTGAACCGCTCTGGGATTCAGTGTTCATCCAAGAGTCTTGGCGCCAACGCGTGCAGCGAGCACTGGCCGGTGGTGGGCAGCCGACTCCACGCGGGACCTGCGGGGACGGCGGAGACCGGCGCAGCCCGGCGCCGCGACCGCACCAACGTGCCTCAGCCCCCACAGGCGCGATGGCGCGGACTCCGGGGAAGCGAGGAACAAAGCCCGGCCCTGTGGGTCGCTATGACTCAAGGGAAGGGCGGCGGCACCGCCGGTCCACAGCCTCGTCTCCTAGGCAGCTGGACCGACAACTTGGCTCACCTCCGGCCGGAGTCGCTGGCAGGCGCCTCCAGTCCATTCAGCGCCTCGGCCGCCATCTTCGGCCACAGCTCCTTGCGCTGCCCCGCCCCAGGCCCCGCCCCGCAGGCTTGGATTGGCTAAGGTGTTTCCCCGTCCCTTTTCGATTGGATGATTCGACTTCCCCGCCTACACCTGAGCAGTTCCATGCTTCTATTGGTCTATTCAAATATCTAACTGTGATTGGTGGCCCCCAACCCAGTGGAAAAGAAAGGATGGGAGAAACACAGCCCCGCAGCCTGCCGGGAGATGTAGTTTCTCTTTTTGATTGACCCCCCCCCTTATAATTCCGCCGACTTTTGTAATCAAGTACAATTAATTTTTTTTCTAATAAGTAAATCTCAGAGTTACAGAGCTGTCGAACTTGAAAATGACTTTTAAGAGTCACTCTCGAGGGAGAGGGGCTCACCAGGTCCCACCCATCCCTGAGGATCGGTAGGCAGTTAACGGTTGCTAGGGGAGGGCCTCGTGATACTCCCTTCCCTCCCCCACTCCCAAGCCCCCTAACCCGCCCCACCCTAAAAATCCATAGGCAGTTAATGAGAGGGGAGAGAGTGTTCCTCAGTGGTATAACCAGTGAAAAAATGGTTAGATGCTCCTATAAGCAACCCTGAGGCTAAACTCATTGGGTCACACACACCAAAAAAGTCACTGTAAAGGCTAGGGAGATAGCTTAGTACATAAAATAGAAAGATCTGAGTTTCATCCCCTGATCCCCGAAAGCACGTTAGAAACTTTAAAAAAAAAAAAAAAAAGTAGTGCAGAGGCACCTACTTGTAAACCCAGCTCTGGGACTGTGAAGAAACAGACTTGCTGACCAGCTTAGCCTACCTGGCAAGCTCCAGGTCAGTGAGAGACACTGTCTTAAAAAATAAGGTAGGGGTGAAACTGGGAGGAGTTAACAGAAGGAATACGGGGGTGAAAATGATCAAAAGGCATTATCCACATATGAAATTCTCAAAGAATTAATAAAAATATTAAATTGAAAAAATAAGGTGGGGGCTGGAGAGATAGCTCAGAGTTACAAGAGCACTTGCTGGTCTTTCAGAAGAATCAAGTTTGTTTCCCAGCCCCCTCTGTGGGGGACTGGAGGGCTCACAACTGCTAGTAACTCCAGTTCCAGGGACTCCAACACCCGCTTCTGGCTTTCTTGGGCATTGTACAACACAGGGGCATTGTACAACACAGGCGCATTTACATACAAGGAGACAAAACACTCCTACACATAACAATTAACTAAAAAAGCCAGTGGTGGTGCAGGCCTTTAATCCGATCAGAGGCAGAGACAGGCGGATCCCTGTAAGTTCAAGACCAGCCTGGTCCACACAGTTCCAGGACAGCTGAGGCTACAGGCCCTGTCTCAAAAAGACAAAAAAAAATTTTAACTAAAAAAAAAAGATGAATGGCATCTAAGGAATTAGCCACAACGTTGCCCTTCACACATTTGTACACTCACAAACACACCTACACACACACATGTTAATAAAATAAGTCTCTCTGAGGCAGATATTCTTATAAACCAAACACAGAATGTCAGCCAAGGACAGGCAGCCCCAATCTTCTGGCTCTGTATCCAAAACCAACAGCAGATCCAAAATATTAGGGTGGAGTCTATACTGAATGTATATAGACCTTTTTTCTTCTTGTTATTCCCTAAACAATACAGTTTTGTTTTTGTTTTTGTTTTTTTGTCTTTTTGAGACAGGGTCTCCCTGTAGCCCCAGCTGTCCTGGAACTCACTATGTAGACCAGGCTGGCCTTGAACTCACAAAGATCCGCCTGCTTCTGCCTCCCGAGTGCTGGGATTAAAGGCATGCACCACCAACATCTGGCAAACAATACAGTTTTAAAACTATAGCATCAGGTATTATAATCTAGACTTTTTTTTATGTGTATGAGCGTATTGACTACATGCATGTAAGTGCACCTATGTTGTACAAAGCCCCCAGAGGTCAGAAGACAGCATCAGATCCCCTGGAACTGGAGTTACAGATGGTTATTAGCTGGGATGTGGGCGCTGGGAATCAAACCCGGGTCCTCTGCAAGAGCAGCCAGTGTTCTTAATCTCTGAATCATCTCTCCAGGCCTAGACATTGTTTAAAATGCACTGTAGGTTTTAAGATTACTTCATCCTATATGAGGAACTTGAGCATCTGTGGATTAAGGTATCCACAAAGATCTAGGCATTAATCAACCACAGATTCCCAGGGATGACTACACTTACTATACACCCTGGTTCAAAGCCTTCTTGTTTCAGATCCTGCGTAGAGTGGGTAACTTCTGTTTTGTTCCACTTGTTCCTTTCCTGCTTCCCAGAGATCACGCAGAGTTTGCCTCTCTAGTATGAATCATGGGACTAAAACTTTCATGATTTTGTCTCTGAGGCTTTATATTTCTGGTAGAAATAGTCAGAGTGTTCTCATAAATACTGAGTCCTGGTGAGTACTGAGGTAGCCCATGTGAGAACACTGTGAATTTAAAATGTTTTCCTGTATTTTTCACACTGGACTTTTCTAGGGATATTTTTTATATTGTTCCTTCTAATGGTCTTTCATCTAAGTTCTCTCTCTCTCTCTCTCTCTCTCTCTCTCTCTCTCTCTCTCTGCCTTACCTCCTGTTTCTGGCTTTGGTTTGGTTTGGGGGTTTATTTGTTGACACAGGGTTTCATTTTGTAGCCAAGGCAGGCCTTGAACTCTCTATGTCACCCAGGCTGGCCTCAAATTAATGATCCTCCTACCTCAGACTCCCAAGTGCTGGATTATAGGCATAGGGCACTAGGCCTGCCTCTGACCCTTTCCTTCACAAACCTCTACCCACACAGTTCAGTTTCTCAATGAATTCTGCCTATCTCAGGGCTCTCAGGGCTCCTACACAGATTGCTTTTTCCAGCCAGCCCTTTTTTCACTTTATCATCTCTCAAGTCTATATAATGTCCCTGGCCTCACCTATTTAAAGCAACCCCTACCCCATTCAGGTGTGGTGGCACATGCCTGTAATCCAAGCACTTGGAAAATGGCTACTGTGTCCAAAAATGTAAAAAACGTATTGTCTAAGGAACTCAAGGTTAGTGGTATGTGCACCCACACAGACATGTACCCCCACACACAGAACACATACATGGACACATATATGCAAATAATCAGGAGGGGAACTCATTTTCTTCAGTGTTGTAGTCATTGGTAAGTTGCTTATATTCCAGTACATAGGACCCATGCTTAGACACCCTAATTAAACTTAGTGGGTCACTGAAAAAATAGACGTGAAAATAAGAAGGGAACTAATTGGTAAGAAGAGAGGATTCAGCAGGCATGGGAGGGGAGAGGGTAATGAAGGGTGAATATGATCAAAATTCGTATGATGTATAAAACTGTCAAAGAGCAAAAAAAATTTTAAATAAAATAACCTCCACATTGTTTTCATAAAGGACTCTATTCATCACCATTTATATATTTGGTTTGTGACCATTTGTTTGCTGTGAGCATTCCCAGCTAGGCTTTCTGCCACAAGTGGGCAGAAACTACATCTACTTTGTTCCCCATAGTATCTGCCAACATACTAGCTGTTCAGAGGGAAAAAAAACTGAACAAATATAAGCAAGTCCTCAAATTACATTATCCAAAAATAAAAATATTTTCTAATAGAGATTTCCAACTGATGAATTCATATTAAAATTTTGGTAAGTTTGGGCTAAATACAGTGATAGCTGATAGCTTTTACAAAAGAATGAATGTTCAAAACCTACATTACTATCACCATAACTAGAAAGACCATATATATCAGTGATAAAGCACTTGCTATACAATCATGAGGACCTGAATTCACATCTCCCGAACCTACATAAAGCCAGATTTGGTAGCCTGTATCTGTAATCCAGCACGCTTGCTTTACAGTATGATCAGAGGTGGAGACAGGAGAATCCTAGGAAGGTCATGTACCACCTAACCTGGGGAACACAGAGATAGGCAAGAGATCTGCTTGTAGAAGACAGGGACCAAGAATCAATGTTGTCCTCTGGCCTCTACAAGTAGTAGCACACGTGTGCCCACACTCATGAAGATTTTTTAACATTTGATAAATATATCCAAGCAAAATTACATTTAATTTCGTCTAATAAGCTATCTTTATTGAGAAAATAAATGAAACAAAAGCATGTATCAATTAAATATTTTCTTTTTCCCCCCAGTGTTGGGAATCAAACACAGGTGCTTGCATATACTAAGTGCTCTACCACCAAGCTACACAGCCAGTCCTTCAATGAAATTTTTCATTGAACCTCAGAGCTGAAAACTCTGAATGAATTGCTAATATATACAATGCAAGAGAAACCAAGGCTCAAATTCTGCCTTTGTCTCAAAGTAAGAACAAGTATTCCATTTTATTAAGCTGATGCTTTTACAAAAGAATCAATGTTCAAAACCCATGTTACTATCACCACAACTAGGGAGACCATCATGAAGAGACATTCCTGGTTCTCCTACTTGATGAAGAATCATATTCTTATATGATATTGGAGGAAATATACACAATAGTTAAAAGCACGGGCTCTGGGATTAGTAAACTCAAATTCAAGTCCCCAGCTTCCATCACTTCTGTGTGAACCTGGAGAAGTTACTTAACTCTCTGGTCTCATCTCCTCTTCTATAAAAATGAGGATCATGGTAATTCTCACAGGGCTATTTGGAAGATTATGTGATAATGCCCGAAAGATACTTAGCCACACAGTGCCTGGCATATATTGAGACTAGATCAGTGTTTGAGATGACTCAAGGAATATTTAGGATGCCAGTCTGCCTTCTGAGGGAACCCATCTCTCTCCTCACAAGGAGGACCATGCACCTCAACTACAGTTTAATCAGTTATTCTGGAGAGGGGCTTGTTTCTCCTCAAAACCAACGGTTCCGTTCCACTGCCATGATTTCTGATTAAAAGTAAACACCACTGCTGAATGTTGTGGAAATACGCTCTCAACTGATATGATGGTATGCCTTGTTTCTGAGAGAGTATCATAGTCCCCTGAGGTTGTCCTTAGCTGGTGATTAAGCATGGATGTCCAGCAGTC